TTCTTCCTGCTAGGCCGGAGTTGCTAAAAATTAGAATTTAATGTTAGACTAGAAATTCTTTAATTTAAAGGTCGCAATTCATGATTTCTGCAAATACAAATAATAAGTTTATGATTAGAATTCATCAGAATTATAATTCATTAAATATCACAAACTATGGAAAGTTTTGTCATTTGTCATCTTCTAAACAAAACATTCATTATAATATCCCATATTTTCTTTCCAATTTGGTATCATCTATATCTATAGATATGTACTCCATATATTTCAAAGATAAAATTATGGAAAGTTTTGCCTTGTGTCATCTTCTAAGCATACATTCATTATAATTTAGAATATTAATTCTTGATTGTACGTTCGATAGAACTTGGAAGTTAAGTTATATTAAAACTGATCATACTATACGTACGTTAGTTTAGGACTAAGTTAGAAGTTAAGTTAGATTAAAATTAATCAATTCATGCTATGTACGTTAGTTTAGGAATAATAAATCAATACATCAATTCTATGTCATCTTCTTATCAAAAAACTAACTTCATAACGTTAGAATTGAATTAGAAACTACATATTTAAACAAAAATAGAAATACAATAACGGATCATGGAAATTTTGTTGTCTCTACAGTAAATTCACCCTGAAAATTATCCCACCTGAATTATTTTGATAATTTCACAATTCAGTGTGCAAGTGAAATCTAAGTTTTTTGGTAAAAAAAAGGCCGATAAGTTGAAAACAAGTTGCCAAACGTGCTCATAGATTCGGGCTATGTTTGGCATTTCGAGCTATATGTGGAGTCTAATGTTTGAATTAAGGTTTATGCTTTGAACTAAAGACTATTGTCTAGACTTGAATTTTGAAATGTTGCATCTGAACTATTAGATAGATGGACTTGAACAAGGTAAATCTGTTTGATTGAAAGAGTTGAAAAACGTTAAGATAATATGACCCGACCAGATTAGATCATACCAAATCAAAATCAATCATAATAGACAAACCAAACAAAAAAATCAATCAAATTAAAAATATTTTTAATGAAGTCCTCCCTAAAATTTAGAACCGTATATTAGATTAGAATTCAACAAATCTTTTGAAAGTGTTCATGAGTAAAATTTGAAGTTAATTAGCTTATTATAGAGTTGATCACAATACAAGCAGGAGTGAGATAGACATAGAAAATCAAAATATTTTACTATGGAATTAACTGTTCATAATTTAAAAATATTTAAATTTTTATTTAATCACCAAAATTGAGACTATGACACATGATTTGGTACTAAAATAGAAAGAGGGACTACAAAAGTTACACAAATAACCTCAAAAATGAATTCCTTAATTATGATCTAATTGAGAAAACAAATCTTAAAAGCATTTGAAAATGATGAATATGAATTTTACTTGTGTATGAATTTATGCAATGAGGTCATTTAGCTCTATAAGTCAATGTTTTTAAATAAGTTAAAGGTAAGGTATGTTTAATAGCTCATATCCACAAAATTTCCAATGAAATTGTTGATTTAGAATAGAATTGTCTCGCATGTGGTATTCATTTTCTCATTTTTAAAGTGCACACATACAACTTTAATAATATCACAATACTTGAAAACTCAAATTTCCATAATATATGAGGGGGTGTTTGGATCTGATTCTTAAAACTGCTTCTGCTCCTTCCACAAGCAAAAGTAGAATCTGGAGTGTTTGAGTGAAAGTGCAGAAGTGATTCTGGTGCTCAATTTACTCCTAGAATCAGTTTTTTTAGAAGCTATGGTACGGTGGACCAGCTTCTGGAAACTGATTCTGATTCTGCTTCTGATTTAAAAAAGAAGTAGCAGCAGAATCAGTTTCAAACATCCCTTAAGTCCAACAATACGTATTTTACTTAATAAGATCATATTACCCTCAATAACTCAATCTAATGAAATATAAATCCATAGCTCCAATCACAATATGTAGTGTGTTGTTGCTGCCATCATTTTCATTAAAATTAAATACGACTGTCACAAATTATTTATTCTATGTAGTTCTGGAAAGAGATCGAAAGACTAAATTGCGAAAATCTAAAACCTTGAAAGGCTATTCTCTCCAAAAAAATAGTTGACTATACCCATTTTTAAATAATTGAACTGCAAATGACGTGTGGTTAATTTTGAAAAAATCACTAAGCCACGAATGAAAATTTAATGGATAAAAATAAGCATTGATGATTTTATTTTTTGTTTAGGTAAAGATGGTTGAAAAGATTAATTAGATTTAAATGTAATTAAGAGGTGTACAAATGTTCTTTTCATTAGAAAATGTAGACTGCAAACATGTTATAATCAATTTAATACGTGATTTTTCGTTAGTAAGACTAAGCAAAATCATTTTAACCCGTGCACGGCACGGGTAAAGATACTAGTTTTGTACTAAAGTGAGGTATACACATTAATGATTTGAAAATTAAGTAAAAAATTAAGCAAAAAATGATATACACTAATTGATTCTACAAATTAATGCCTCTACGTATTCCGGTTGTACATAAACGAATGTGTTCGATGTGTATTTTGACTATTTTCCTAACATGTACATTTTGTTTCAATATACTTCGTATCATTTAAATGCTGTTATAAAATTTAAACATATTATACATTCTCTAAATATAATTGTACTCTAGGATTGAGAAGCTATTTAGTCGTTTGGAAATCAAAACTATAGTTTTGATAGGTTATACTACCTCCTCTTGCAACATTGGACTTTTTGCCAGGGGTGGAGCTAGGGCACTGGGCCGCACTGGGCCGGTACAAAGAATATCTTTGAAATTTTTTTACAAAGAATTTTTTACACTAAAAATACAAGCATTTTTAAAATTTGGGCTGGGCCAGGGCCAGGGATGGCCCTCCCCTAGCTCCGCCCATGCTTTTTGCACTATTTGCATCTTCTACTTTGACTACATTTTATTAATTGATGTATAATAAATTAAATTTTTAAAAAATATTGTTAAATTCTTCACACTCTAAAATTTCAAAATATGATTTTTTTTAAAATTTTTTACTAATAAGGAATGAAAGATATTAATGGTCAAACTTGTGCGGCGTTGGCAAACGTAAAATGTTGACTGTTGCAATTAAAAAGGAACGGAGGAAGTAAAAAACATGCACAAGTAGCTCAGTTGGTTGAATGGTGAGAAAATTGGAGGAGTAATCAAGGTTTGAAATCCGCATCGATCATGTAGGTGGAGATTAAAACTCATGCGTGCTGGATTGGACTTCTGGTGCACACGAGTATAAGATTTATTATCATTGGACTGACTGAATCATCGTGATTTACATTCTTTCATACTATTTCCATCCCGTCGGACTTTGCCAAGTGCAAAGTAGGTGAGAAATAAAAATAATTAAAACTGTGTGGTTGAGATTAGTGCAGAAGAGAGAGAAATATGCAGAACCACAAATTAGTTTTTTTAATAGGAAAGTAACAAAATTTTTTAGGACAACCAAAAAAGAAAGTTGGCAAAGTCCAAAAGGACGGAGGGGGTGTGTCTTGTTGGGTCGGGTGTGGGGTTTTTGGGATTGGGGATAACATTTTTGAAGGAATTGATAGATAATATTCCATCCGTCCCTGAAAATACTTCCAACTTTCCCTTTTCGTCCGTCCCAAAAAGAACTTCACTTTCCCTTTTTTACAAAGAATTTGTGGTTAACAACATTTTTCTCTCCTCTGCACAACTCTCCACCACACAATTCTCACTTTCTTAATCCGCGTGCCACTTTATTTTGAAAGTAAATTCAAGGATGGAGGTAATAAAAATTAAATCAAAAGAAATGACGGTCAAAGATTCTATTTAACAAGATCAATAAATGCATGTTCATTCAGCTTTTCGAGTTTAGAGTCAGAGAACCATCGCATAACTTTGAGGAAAAGTTATGAAATGGGTGGATTTATTGTAATTTACTAACCTATATAACACGATCTAATGGCAAGATAAACAAATAAAGAAAGATGTATATTTTACTTTTTAAAAAGGAAGTCATATGACTCATATATTACTATTGAGTAAATAAAAAACTTATACTGTTTCTACATGCATTAGTACTTTAAGTACCTCTACAATCAAGCAATTTCAACGACCACATAAAGAGATAATTATTACCTCCAAATGAGCAATCCATGTAGCAAGCTATGAATACCGGGCAAATTCTAACGAACATTATAGTGGTTATAGAGAGTAGTGGGTATCACCAATTCACCATCATAACTGAGTGTCTAAGTAATGATGAGAATGGTGCTGATCGATGTTGATGAGAATTAGATCTATCATCTATGACTAATGAATCGGGAAAAACATCATCCATAACACTAACACATATGCGGATACACTCATATACCACCTTGGAGTAAACCATATCCATAGTTAGGAGTCATATTAAAAAACAATGACGTCTTGTTCGTGAACTTTGCATAAGTTTAGCCCTACAATATCTAAGATATCAATAACAGAAATACGTACTACTCTGATCTTCATACTTAATTATATATTGTGTTCCTTATCTCTCATAAGTAGTGACATAGCCAGGAGTTCAAATTAAGCTAGGCCAATGCACTCTTTTTTGACACAATTATTAAACATTTGGGGTGAGTCCGATCCTAATATAACCACCTACCGGTTACCTCCGCCCATGCTCATAATATACTCCGTGTGAGATTTTATATAACCATAATAGCGACCAACTAGGGGGTTGGATTTTTGCAATTCGAATTATTATCTGAGTTGGTTGAAGTGTTTAATGTGAATATAACTTACGAGTATCATTTATGATTTGAGATAGTATAGACGAGTCCGTATACCGTGCAACCGGTGCATGGTGAGCACCATGCTCCCATGGTTATATGAAATGTAATTAATGTGATTTCACATGTAACTTCAAGTTAATCAAAATGTAAATTACACACATTCACATATAACTCGTTGAAATGTAAACTCTTTTAATTGAAATGTAACTTGGAACCAAATTAGATAACTTGGATATGTAACTTTAGGCTTTTGAAATGGAAAACTCTTTTACAAAGATGTAACTCGCGTACATTAAAATGTAACTCGTGTACATTAAGATGTAACTCGCGTACATTAAGATGTAACTCTAAAAATGTTGAAATGTGAATTAGGGTTTTACAAAGATGCAACTCCATTCTATATAAAAACCAATTAACTCTATCGATCAAAGCCTGTTAGATTAATTTGAATGGAGAAATTTATATTAATCTGAATTGTATATAACTCCAACAATCTAGCCAAATCCAGACAATAAGTTATTGACGTTTTCCTTCTGATTGTTTGCTAACTCCCTTGAATTGAGTCATCAAAGTGAATCCAGGCGGCGGAGAGATGGCTGGGTACAGAGCATGAGTATGATTACTGTTCAAGTTTGTGTTGATCGGTGGAGAGATTGTGCGGCACTCGATTATCCTTCTGTTTTAATTAAAAACGACCGGGCACACCATCTTCATGGTGCGCCGGTTCTAGTATATAATTTGGGAGTATAGACTAACTACAAAAAATTTACCCTAACAACATATTCTTATGATTCCCGATTCCGTTTCCGCCATTAGAGCCAGCAGCGGTGGCTTCTTTCTTGGGCGAAGAACAAAATATGGGAAACCCGAAAGACCCAGCCTTAGATGAGCCTCTTAGCGATGAACAAACCGGGACGTTGATAATCGGAGCGACCCGGACATTTCCTGAATAAGACCGTGCCATTCCCCTGCTCTTGTATCGGGCCTCACCAATGGAAGTCCCTGCTGCCGGACTACTTGAGCTTCTCTCCAACCCGTGGAAGATAACCTTCCCCGAAGAGTTCATCCGAGGACTATCCGGCGAGAATCCGCCAATCGCCGCGGCGATACCTGGCGCTCTCCGCCCTACTCTGGCCGCAACTCCGGCGGTGGAAGGAACATTCTTCGCAGATAATCCCCTGCGCACGACGATTCGGGCCTTACGGCGGTTACTGCCTGTTTGGGCCGTCTTGCGCGAGAGACTGGCCGGCTTTTGGGAGTCGAGAGAGAGGCGGCGAGAGAGGCCTTCGATTCTGTGCCTAGGAGAAGGAGAGGACGACGACGAGAGGGAGAGGCGATGGCATGAAATCGATACGCCGCCGCAATTGTCATTATTGGAATCCTTCAGCAGAGGAAGGCGGAGCGATTTATTATCACCATCGCCTTTATTCATCGATGATAACAATGAGTTCAGAGATTTTGATGAACTGCGCCGAATGAAATCCTTCATAGATTTCTGAATGCCGTTATTGTTCGTTGAGGGAGAAGAAAACGAGGAAGACGTCGTCGTTTTCATACAATCGTCCCTGCTCTTGACATTGCCGATTTGGTGCTGGTAGATCTTCTTAAAGCCTAAAAGCTCCTTCCACTTACCTGATGATGCTGTTGAACAACGCCTCGGCGACTTCGAATTACCGTTTTTCGTCTTCCTTTTAGGAGTATCCGGCGGCGATCCAACCACTTCCGCAGACGGCGGTTCAGGCGTCGACGCGACATTTCCCTGACAGTTCGTCGGTGTTTGAAGCTGTAACATCTTTCCACCGGAGAAGAGTTCATCGGCAGGAAGCATAACCTGAGGATGGCCATCAATCCTGAACTCAAATTCCGCCATATCATTGCCGCCGAGAACATCCAGATCTGATCCCTCATTGCTAGTGTTATTATAATCCCCGCAGCTTCCTTCTGTAGGTGCCGGCGGTGCTGATGAATGACTATTAGCTTTGGAGCTGGCCTTAGTGAGAGACCGCGTATCATCATTGCCGATCTCTCTGCTGAACGATGTCCGCGGACTCCGCAAGCGGCCATATGCGTTGCACTTGGTGGACAGAGGACATAATAGAAAGTTCTCCGGCGACATCCTGATCTTGTTCACGCACGCTGACGCCATCTCCGGCGATCCTGCGACACCTTTCCGCTCAACAATTGCACGTATATATATATATATACGTGAATAATGTATAGATAGATGCACTTGTATATTACAAGGCAGGCGGTTATGAGCCGCCGTGTGAATGATTTTCAGATGAGTAGTGCCGTAGAAGGAAACTGCCACCGTAGCAGTGCAGTGGCGCTTTACGGCGGGGAAGGGGGCAATGGAATATAGATATAGCAGCGGATTATAATATCCTCCAAAACTGACAGCTAATTATTGTTGTCATATTTGAATATGTGATGAATTTTGAGGAAACAATTGCCAACTACTTTATAGAAACTCCAACGATGTAATCCGAAAGAGGTCTTCAAAATGGACCCATCTGTCACATTTCTGGCAAATTAATATTTCAACTCTTTCTGAAAGGCATAATAATAAATCAATCAATAAAACAAGCTAACAGATTCACTGTTGTAGTGTTGCGGCCTTAAAACGTTTTCCCCCTTATTTCTTTTACAGCTAATATGCAGGGAGGGATCCAAGGGACCGCCCCTACAACTTTCAAAAATTTAGTATTTTCATAAAATTTTCATACTTTAATTAAATTTATATGTTTTCGTCCCTTTTAACTTTTAGTTTTGAAAGTTAATGTATAGCCTTACATAGTATAACACTTAATTGAAGATTTAAAAGAAATAAAATTTAAAACAATTTAGATAGTTTAAGACTTAGATACCTATCATATAAAAACTCATAGCTAGCTATGTAATATTTAGCTAAGGTTCCCGTTCGTTAGAAGACGTTCGCCATCCAACGAGTAAGGGAAGAACCGGTTTACCCCGCTAAGGTTCCCGTTCGCCCAGGAGTTATGTCTCCCCTCCTCCCATTTTTTTGGAGGGAATTTTTTATCAATGGCTCATTGGTAGAATTTCTTCAAGTGCTCTACATTCCATATTCCAGCAGAATTCCCCTCCAAGGTTTGGAGGATGAACGTCGCCTGGTTTAGCCTTCGAAGGACCCTATATGGTCCTTCTTAATTATTGGCCATTTTGCCACCTTCGAGCGGTTTGCTCTTTTCTCTCTTGCGTAGTACGAGATCCCCAGCATCAATCTCACGGATTTTTACTGCTTTGTTGAAGTATCTCTGGGTGGCCCGGTGATATTCCTCCATGCGGCGAGCTGCTAGGTCCCTTCATTCTTCGATGAAGTGGAGCTCCGCTCGTAGGGTGGCCTCATTGTCTTCTGGTTGGTAATGCTTAGTGCGGTGTGTGGGTACCAGCACTTCAGTGGGCACCTTAGCTTGGAAACCATAAGCTAAGGCGAAGGGCGTCTCCCCGGTTGCAGTCCTTGGGGTTGTTCTGTACGTCCAGAGGACGTAGTTATGCTGTTCGGGCCAGGTGGATGCATAATCCTCCAATTTCTTCTTGATCCCGTCCATGACGGTCCGGTTCATGTTCTCCACCTGGCCGTTGGCCTGTGGCTAAGCCACCGAAGCTTTCGAATGCCTGATGCCCCATTTGGCCAAATATCCTTCGAACCCGCGTCTGACGAACTGCCGGCCGTTGTCTGTGATGATCTGTTCTGGGAGTCCGAAACGGCATATGATGTTCTGCCAGACGAACCTTTGACATTGATATTCAGTGATAGTGGCCAGAGGCTCGGCCTCTACCCACTTGGTGAAGTAATCAATCGCCACGATGATAAACTTTCGTCCGCCGGTCGTCTTGGGTAGAGGTCTCAGTAAGTCGATTCCCCATCTTGCAAAGGGCAGGGAGACGGTCGTCGGGGTGTAGAAGCTCGCCGGCCGTCCTGGAACAAGGGCGTACTGCTGGCACACTGCACACTTCTGAGTGTGGTTGTAACAATCTTGTTGGATCGTGGGCCAGTAGTAGCCTTGCAGGATGATCTTCCGCGCCCGAGTTCTAGGGCCCTGATGACTTGAGCAGATGCCCTCATGGATTTCTTCTAAAACTGCCGCGGCAAGGTTCGGCGGAAGGCATCTTAAGTATGGTCCGCCGAACGTCTTTTTGTAGAGCTGCCCGTCAATGATTTCAAAATTCGGGGCACGTCTCTTAAACCAAGCTGCCTTCCCCGTGCTACCATCGGGTGGGGGTTCAGGGAGGGTTCCGTCCTTGATGTAGTCCGCGATCTCCTTTAGCCAATTGGGTTTGGCTAAGGAGATGGCCTTTATCTGGATCATCTCCGTCGCCGGTGTTTGGAGCGTCTCATGTCTTACAAACCCCTTGATGTGCCGGGGAATGCTCGCCGTCGGGTCATCGGACGAGGGATTACCTAGCTTTGATAATATATCAGTCTCGACATTTTCCACTCGGGATACCTGTTCAATTATCACTTGTTCAAACTGTGTGATTTGCTCCTCCGCCAGCTCTTTATAGACCTTCATCCTCTCCTCCCTGGCTTACATTTTAATCCTGCAATAAGCGCCTCGTACTCAGCCTCGTTGTTGGTGACCTTGAACTCGAACTTCATGGAATAGTATGCCTTGAATCCCTCGGGGGAGGTGATCACGACTCCTCCGCCACAGCCTCGCGCACTTGAGGCTCCATCGGTGTACATCTCCCACCAGTTGTCGAAGTCGTTGGTGTCCTGGGAGTTATCCTCGGTGCGTGCAGTGCATTCAGTGATGAAATCTGCAAGTGTCTGTCCTTTGATCGTCGGCCTTGGTTTGAAATCCACATTGTATTGACCGATCGTCAGGGACCACTTCGTGATCCTTCCGCTGACCATGGGATTCCTGAGAACCGTGGCGAGGGGCTGGGCTGTGTAGATTGTGACTGGGTGAGCTTGGAAGTACGGCGCCAAACGCTTGATGGATGCTATCAAGGCGAGGACCGTCTTCTCCATCAATGTGTATCGTGTCTCCGGGCCGTTCAGCGCCTTGCTCACAAAGTATATCGGCCGTTGGACGCCCTCATCTTCTTTGAGCAGCACGGAACTCACTGCCAAGTCTGCTACTGCCAAGTACATGTACCGCTGCTCCCCTGGGTCCGCTGACGTGCACTTGTCGGGAGGTGCACTCAAAATAAATATCAATACGACACTAATACGTAGTATAACGAAGTAAGGTTCGTATCCACAGGGAAAGGAATATTTCTCTTTTTAATTAACTAGTAACAAAGGGGGGGGGGTTTAGATTTGATTTGATTTAATTAACACTAAGATGAATGACTTAAATGAGTTTAATTAATGAGAAGAAGACTTGGCTTTGCTTTTATCCACTTAATGAAATGTTCGTCGATCCCGGTTATATCTTTAACTATCTTCCTCTCGAATACTCAATCGAGTATATCCAGTTCATCGAGGGTAGTTATTAATAACGAGAAGCGTTCATTAATAAAACTTACTATCGAGTCAATATAGAACAAGCGCCGTATATTAACTTGATAGTAGCAATAAACTTAAGATGAAAACGATTGAGGTTGATAACCTCAACACAAGCGGTTTATTGGTTTAATCAATATAATTAATTTCCCTTAGATTATTAACCATGAGATGCATGCATTAATAATCCAAGTTTACTACCATGAAAGGACCGAATTAATAACAAGCGTATTAATCGACCGATTCTAGTATTAATTAATATATGAAACAAAACTAGTTGATCCTTTAAGTAATGTTCAAAATATTAATATGAAATATGAATAGGAATTAATTAATACTCAAGAAAGAATATTAAAGAAGATGAATCCTACTATAGTTAATATCAAGATGTTAACTAATTGTCATCTTAGTAACACTCCCCAATATTAACGTAGGGGAAGAAATAATTATTACTATAACTAATGTCAAGATGTTAACTAATTGTCATCTTAGTAACACTCCCCAACATTGATATAGAAATAGTATTTAAAGGAAGAATTAATATTCAAGGAAGAAGATTAAAGAGAATAACTCACAACTTACAAATTCATTAAGCTTCAAAGTAGCAAAACCAAGATGGAAGAGTTTAGCTCCTCATTTGGAGACTAAACATGATAGAAAATATAAAGAAAACACTAATCTAAACTGAGCTAAAGAGTATATGTGAATTGGTTATTTTATTGGGAAGCAAAGGGGTGTATTTATAGGCTTTTGGGAGCTGCAGGGTCTGATACCCGACCGGGTATATAGGATACCCGACCGGGTATCTCAGGAAATTGCCCAGAAAGTGATTTTTCTGGGCATACCCGATCGGGTAAGGGTATATACCCGATCGGGTATGTGACAAATCTTTATGAAAATTTGCTCCCACGATCATTTGTCTTCGGATTTGATTTGGACAGTCGAATCAAGCAATTACCCGGTCGGGTATAGGCAATATCCGACCGGGTACATGAGTATTTTTTCCAAATCGAAATCTTTCTTGTCTCCTTGCACTTTCCTTGATCTTTTAAGGTCCAATCTTGATCCCTTAGATGATCTTTGACCTGTTTAGCTCAGAAAAATCCTAATCTAACTAAATTACAAATAAAAATGAAAATCAAGTATTACACCAAACGTGTGTAATTCCCACAACTAGAACTAATAAAAACTAGTTAAAAATACAAACATACAATCGGAAATTACATGAATATCAACTCCCCCACACTTAGCTTCTTTACTCGTCCTCGAGTAAAGTCAAATGTTTAATAGTTCCAAGTCCTCAAGAGTTCAACAATCAACAAGAAGAAGCAAAAGACCACCAAGGATAAAACTTGAGTTTTACATTGAGTGTTTAGCTCAGAGAACAATATCTTGGGTTTCATGGCCTTCTATGCTTATCTCTTTTCTTCTCCTCTTTTCATGTTCAAGAGATTAAATGATGTCCTGTAAAAACAAATATCTCTCTCATATCTCTCATTTTGCCTAGGAGCCTTTTCAGGTTTTCATGCTAGCAACTTTTTTTTTTATTTTTCCATCCTTTCCACTCACTCATTTTTATAAGCCCTTTTTGCTTAGTTTGCCCATTTTTGGGTTTTCAACCTAACTAGCATCTTTTTTTTTTTTTTTTTTCTTACTTTTGTTTTTTGTTTTTGTTTTTTTATGTGAAGAAAATAATGCCAGTTACAAGGTATCAAACTTAAGTACGTATCAATGAGTGACTCCCCCTCACTTAGTTCGAAGCACTGTCCCTAGTGCTCGTCTCCGTAATAACCTTGTTGGAATGTACATCATTGTAGCCCTGAATCGGTCCCCTAGCCTGTGAACTTGCGGCCCTGTCCCGCTTTGGTGCCATTGATTGCCTTTTTTGGAGTTTGAATTTCGGGGGGCTGGGGTTTTGGGTTTTATGGAGAGGAGAAATTATGGGTTTTTTTTTTGGTTTGTATAGGGGAGTGTTTTGG